GATTTGGCCCTGATCAACTCAATAAGTTTTTTGGATTTTTGTTGTTATTGTTTTGGTTTTGGTTTTGATATGGGGGATTGAACCTGGGGGCACTTTACCACTATATCCCTGATTCTGTTTGTTTATTGAGATAGGTTCTCGATAAGTTGATGAGGCTGGCCTTGAACTTGTGATCCTCCGGTCTCAGCCTCCCAAGTCTCTGGGATTGCAGTAGTGTGTCATTGCGCCCAGCCCAAATTTAATTTTCCCAAAGATCTGCCTAAATTCACTTAGGTGAGGGAAAATGGGACTTGTTTTTGGATTTTGGAAAGAATCAATCAAATACTTGCCCCAGAAAATCGAGTCTTAACTTGATATCTAGTCACCACACTGATTCTCTTAATTCAACTGGCATTAGGCCATATCCTGCTTTAGTAATCCTTAAAATACACTGAAGTGGAAGTCCTTTGAATTATTAAAATCCTAGTCAATTACCCTTTGGTATGATGCACCTGGGAGTACTCTGTTTTTCTGATGCTTGTCTTAAACGTGAGCAATCCCACAATCTTCTCACTTATAAACTATTGATTTACCGAATCCCAACCTTCTCTCTCTCATAGTGTAATTGACTATGTCCCAAACCACCCCTCCCAAATGATAAGTCTTCAATGATTCCTGAGAACGAGAGAAATGGCCAACAACTAAGTGTTCTGTAATTTAGCATTGCAAGTGGGAAGTGAAAATCTCAGTCCACTCCCACAGTTTGTTATTCCTCTGACATACACCTTCTTCCACCAAACTCAATTGTTCCCAAAGAGAATCTTTGCTATTCACCAGCCAACTCATTTTAAGACAAATACTAAGAGCCAAATGACTAGGAAATCATTACTATCATGTACTATAGCATCCATTAGCCCATTCCCAATAAGCAAACTCACCACTGGATAAGAAAGTTCTTACAGTCACTCTGGCTTCCCCTGTGGGTTGGGAAAAGATGTGGGAGGAAAGATACTATAGCACCTCCAGTTAGCTAGAAGGGTTATAAAATGCTGCCAGGAGACCTGTGAATCTGGGTAACATTACTAGGAGAAAAACAAATCCAATTCAAAAAGGTCTCAAAAATAATGTCAGTCTTTGCCTCTTCTCCCTTTCTCACCATCGTGATGCATGCACCAGACTCCTCTGTTCCTTATCATATCTTTTCACAAGACTTTCAGAATCAAATGATTCCTAGCCAAGAGACAAAAGCAAAATTGTCCCATTTCCCAAAGGACTCAGATGAAAACTGGTAATAAATCATGGACAACTCCAAGAGGAGACACTGGAGAAGAACCAAGCTGGCTCTATGAGGAATTGCATGGGAGATGGCACACAGATTTATGCTGTCTCAGGGTAATCCCACCACATCAAGATGAAAAGGTCACCAACGCCTGGAGAGTTGGGCATGTTAGTTGGGAATCTGATTTTTCTTTTTCTATGATCTACACTAGTGAGTTGGCTCAGAAATAAGTGTGTTAAACCTTTTTTTTTGGGGGGGGGCAGGGGGAGGAAGATGTCTCTATTGCCATTCTTAAGAGAGAAAGCCAAGGAAGAATCTCATTGCACAACACACAGCAGAGCTTCCAAAAATCCTCCTTCCAAAATCAACTCCCACATCTGTTGCTCTCCCCTTCTCCTCTTTCTCTTTTCTACTATCCTCAACCTTGTTCTCCTCACTTTGTTACTATTCCTGCCTTCTACCCTTTCTCAAGTAGAGAAACACAGCCTGCTCCTGATTTCCATGGATCACTGTCAAGAACCTAGCCACTGACCAAGCCAGGAAAGAACTCTCCCCCTGGAAGTCAGGGAGTGAACAGGGGTTAGTATTGTATACATTTTAATTTATATAATTGTTTCCTTCCTCCCTCCTTCCCTCCCTTCTTTTCTTCCTTCCTTCCTTCCTCATGCAGACATTATCAGACCAGTCTTGGTTTTTACCAGTGATCCCAAAGAATATGTACAGGTCCACTATAATTTTCTCCCAATATCCTCAGAATGGCTATAGCCGACAAAGAATGTGAAAAGACTGTCCATCCCTGTTTTCTATGGTCCACTGACCGTCTTTGGCTTGGTAACCAACCCAGCTGTTTTCATCTCTGGAATTCTTCAGGAGAAGGAATCGCCCATCAGGGATTCCCTCTGTCTCCAAGATTTCCTGATTGCAAATACCCGCTGCTCCTTGCCATTCAGCATTGTCTACCTGTTTCTTCAAAATTGACCCACTCACTTCCCATCCTTCAGCCATAATCCACTGATAGAACAGTTTATGAGTCTGTTTCCTGCTTCTCTCTTTATTTCAACATCTTTCTTTGCTTATGTCACCAAATACCTAGTAATCTTATCTCAAAACTCTCAGCCTTACTCTCTTCCTGATTCAGACCATCATAATATTGCAAGGTTGGAAGTTATCTATCCAAACTCTAACTTGTGCTTGTTGAATTGTGTCCTGTTCATAACAGCAACACTACTGGAAAATTAGATCTGTCTCTGTCTAACCCACATCCATGGGACTCATACTTGGTGTGACTCATTATGGGAAGTAGAACACTTAAGAAGTGATAGTTGTGGCCAGCACCCAACTTCCATTATTCTCTGAGGGATAAATAAACATTGTGCCAAACTTATTAGTCAGGCTTCTTTTCAGAGACAAGTGACAGGAACTCAACTTATGCTGGCTTAAGCAAAAAAAAAAAAAAAAAAAAAAAAAAATGAACTTGCTGGTTTAACTGGGAAATCTAGGAATACAACTGGCCACAGACACAGCAAGACCCCCAAGTTTAAACAGGTCGTGAGGGCTTGGTCTCTAAAACTCACATTTCTGTTTGTTCCTTCTTGGTAGTCCCATTTTTTCCTACTTCAAAATAACCTCCCTCACCACAAAAAAAAAAAAAAAAGCTTCTTTCATACATTCAGAAAGATGGTTGTTGGCAGCTCCCAACTATGACATCTCATTTGAACAGCACCAAAATGTCGACATGATAGTTACTGATACAATATCAAATTGGGTACTACAATCTCTTCAGAGCCCTGTACTTTCCAGAAAGAGAAAAACTGACTTGGTTGAAGAAGGCAGTGCATAGCGCCTGCTGTTTTCTATTTTATGTAATGTAAAGTACATTTCTGGAGTACTTTACATTATGAAAAACTCTCTTCACTCACCAGATAAATTAGAAACGAAGCTCAAGAGGTTGGACTTCCAAGAACATAGACTAAAACGAACTTGTGTAACTGCAGCCACAGGCAGGCACGCAGACTTATATGACGATAGTGCAACTGAATCATTTCCTGGATTAAGAAAAGTGGCAGAGACCCACTCGGGAACGACACGCACCAGGCGTCCACCTCGTAAGGCAGCGATCCCCGCGAGCACGTATCCATAGCCCGCCCTCCGGATCCTACCCACTCTAGGATCAAGGCGTTTCAGGGCCTGAAGGTTGGCCTGCGTGCACACACACAGAGTGTGA